AAAAGCAAACATATTTTATTAAAGATTTTAAAGTTAAGATTTTAAAATGATTACTTTAAATTAGATCAATAAATATTTACTATAAAATTACTTTAACATTAATTTTAAATCATGAAGACAGGAGAATCCGTTGGTTCTATGAACCATCCAGAGTGCGGGACGAGGACCCTTCTCCTGGTGCACTCCGCGGTTATTAAAGTGGACGTCGCCACTGCTTTTTTCTAAGTGGGTATAGCCTCCACTGCTTTTTTTTAAGTGGGTATAGCCTCCACTGCTTTTTTTTAAGTGGGTATAGCCTCCACTGCTTTTTTCTAAGTGGGTATAGCCTCCACTGCTTTTTTCAAGTGGGTCGCCTCCACTATCTGAGCATATGAGAAGTGATAAAGGTAACTTTATTTCCAGAGAAGAATTTTGTGATGGTTACACTCTATATGCTTTTGACTTATCACCAGATTTATGTGATGGTGATCATTTCAATTTAATAAAGCATAGTAATTTACGCATTGAAATGAAATTTGAGACACCGTTAGAAAAAACAGTCTGTGTTATTGTATTTGCAGAATTTGAGAACGTTATTGAAATTAATAAATCAAGAGACATTATATATGATTTTGGGAATTAATAATGGACGGAAAAAAAATTTACGAAATTTTATCGCAAGATCCTATAACAGCATTCAGGTTCAAAGGTGTTTATGCAAGAGACAGGATACCCTTATTGAAAGAAAAGGAAGCTATTATCGTCAACACTGATGACTCAACTCGACCAGGATCTCATTGGTTAGCCCTCTACATGACTGAAGGAAAAACGCTTGAATTTTTCGATTCCTATGGACATTCTCCTGATTTCTATGGACTTGATGTGTATAAATTATTTAACATTTCTAATTCATGTTGGAATTCTATAACTTTTCAATCACTCACATCCAATGTGTGTGGAGCCTATTGTATTTTCTTTATTTATAATCGTTGTCGTGATATATCTATGTTATCCATTATAAAAAATCTCAATGTAAATCGAAAAAATGATTTCGTCATGTATCAATTTGTTAAAAAGAAATTTGGTGTACGTTTTGCTTTCAAACAATAAAATTATTAATTTATTTTGTGTTTTTCTTTACGTACCGTTATTTGCGTTATTTAATTTTAATAAATATTTTCGTTTATTCATTCTTCTTTATAAATTATGGAGTTCCCTAAACTTAGGCATTCGTTCACATGCATTTTGGCTGGTCCAACAGGATGTGGAAAAAGTCAGCTCTGCAATAAAATAATTGAATCTAAAATTATTGAACCTTTACCAAAATCGGTTATTTGGTGTTATGGAGCGTATCAAGCTATGTTTTAAACAATACCGAATGTGACATTTCATGAGGGCGTTCCTTCTGATTTAAATACTATTTCAAATGCATTAATTATTCTCGATGATCTCATGTCTGAATTGGGGAGTAATTCCAAATTGACGCATTTGTTTACAAAGCATAGCCATCATCGAAATGTCTCCGTCATTTTTATAGTTCAGAACATATTCCATAAAGGTAAAGAGATGCGAGAAATATCTCTAAATGCTCATTATCTTATACTTTTCAAAAATCCTCGTGATCAAAGTCAAATCACGCATTTAGGCAGACAACTCTATCCTACAAAAGTGAAATTTTTCCAAGAAGTATATCAAGACGCAACTTCGAAACCCTTTGGTTACTTGTTAGTCGATTTAAAACCAGATACTGATGATAATATGCGCCTGCGCACTGGAATATTACCGAATAATAAAATGATCGCGTACCTGCCAAGGTAGTCATTTGCCCATTAACCTTGGAGAAGATGAGTAGTATCGTTCTAGATTTCGAAGGGTTTATATTTGATAAAAACAGATGTATTTTAAAAGAACTTGCTGTTTTCGATATAAATAGCGAAGAGTTAAATCATTGGACATTTCAACCACCGTTTAGCTTTATAAAGCTAAGAAAGTATGAGAAAAGACAATATTTTTGGATAAAAAATAATACACATGGATATGATTGGAGTTTTGGAGAATTCTCATACATAACATTATATTATATTTTAGAAGAGATATTTCAGAATTATGAAAAGATTTTTATAAAAGGAGTCGAAAAGACAAAATTTATTCAAAGTTTCACGAATCGTCATTGTGTGAACTTGGAAACTCTAGGGTGTCCGAAAATAAATGATTTGACTCCGTTTCGTGTTAACTGTAATTTTAGACACTTTAACAGAAATCACTGTGCCTTCATCAAAGCGCACTCATTCGGCTATTGGTATAAATTAAATCTCACAAGTAATGGAACAATCAAATGTGAATAGAATGTCAGACAGTAAACACTGTTATCTCGAGGTCTTAAAAGCTGTGGCTAAATCAAAATCGAAGCGGAAATTTTTAAAGCACTGCCCAGCTAAATCAATCAAACATATTTGTGAATGCGTTCTTAATTTAATTAAAGGTAACATTCCTCTGAGTAAACACCAAAAGAAGAAACTTTCACCTTTTAAAACAAGTTTACGAAGAATTGCAGATAAGAAAGTACCTCTGTTTCGTAAAAGAGCAGTTCTCGTACAACGAGGTGACGGTTTTTTAAGTTTTTTAATACCGGCTGCCATTACAGCTTTAACAACTTTAATTAATGGAGCACGGTAAAAAATTTATCTTAGTACCAGAAGATAGATTACAAACGAATACTGGAGAATACTTATCAGAGTTGGACAGGCAAACGAACGATATTTTAAAAAATCAAAATATTTCCGAAAATGAAAAAGCAGTGTTATATCTGCAAATTTTACAAAAGTATATCAAATTTCCTACTTTTTGGGAAAATAAAATCGAATCAACTCCAGCAGTGGAAGAAAATCAAATGGAAGAAAATGACAAAGAAATTAAAGAAGAAAAAACGACAGAAAGTGATAGTTTAATAGAAACGCAATTAATGAACATCGTACCTATGCGTCAAAAAGAACAAGCTAAAGAGCTTTTACTATTCTTGCAATCAAATAAACAACTGTTAACGTGGACTGAAACAGGAGAAATTATGTATAAACAGAAACTTCTGCCGGGAACCAACATCACTCATTTGATAAATAATCTTCTGAGAAATGGAAAGAAACAACCCAAAGGACAGAAAATATTTTTTGAGGCTGTAAAAGAAATGAAAATACCTGAAAAATTTGTTATTAATAAAAAAATGTTAAATGACTCACCTTCTGTAGTTGATTCACCATTATTCTTCGCTAGAAAAAATAGATGGCTGAAATATTAAATATTATTTGTAAATTTTTTATGTTATAATTTTTTTTTGTAATAAACGAATTTAAAATGAAAAGTTTCTTTTGTTTAGTTATTATTTTTTTTTTTTACATTTTAATCAACATAGGTGTACTTATCCATTAAGCTTAATACTATTTTAAGGATTATTATTATTTTTTAAAATTAAATTCACAAATATTTTTCTAAAATTAAATTAACGTAAATTTGAAAGATAAGGAGACATCGGTTGGTTTGAAGTAACCATCCAGAGTGCGGGACGAGGACCCTTCTCCTTTTGGCACTCCGCGGTTATTAAAGTGGACGTCGCCACTGCTTTTTTCTAAGTGGGTATAGCCTCCACTGCTTTTTACTAAGTGGGTCGCCTCCACTATACACTAAGTCCTCTTTAAAAACCATATGGAAGGGTGGATAGATCAGGCTGAATAACACGTTTATTATAGACCATCCGGTAATTTTTAGTCTCCTCTCTATTGATGACCTTTCTTTTCTTTGGATCACGTGTGATTTTTGAGGGGTTATGTACAGGGATCGTAGCATCTTGGTCGAGAGAGCAAACCAAGTGTTTTACCGATTCAAAATTCAATACCGCAGAGTTTCTGGCATTCAATGAGAAACCCCTTACTTTACAGCACGTTTTGCCGCCCCTAGTAGTGTAGGCATAATTCTTTGCTCCGCCTAAAAAAGAACAGTAATAATAAATGAACTCATAAAGAGAAATACAAATTCAATGTTATATTTACTAACTATATATTTACCGGACACGAATGTAGTGATTACATCACCATCCAGCTCATCTGTGAATTGTCCTAAGAAATTTCCTAAAGGTGGGTCATTATCTCCATTAGTGGCGTAAATAATTGAATCTGTGTCGTGATATAACACATCTTCTCCTAACCTATCCATTTCTTGGTACAACTTAAGTCGTGCCCAGGCTGTTGTAAATGTCGCAACAAAGATGTTAGTGGTGGTGTCTTGCTCTATAAATTCCCTGTGGGATTGCCACTGCAAAGCAGCTATCTCTGGGGTAGGGAAATAAACATCTTTAACCTATAAATGAAGCAAAAAAAAAATTTTATTTTTTAAAGAAACTATGAAATTTATCTCTTTTGATTTAAAATACAATATACCTTCTTGGTCGAATCAGCCAATATCTTATTAAATTTTGGAAGATCGTGAACGTAGGTCAGCTGAGTTTTGGATAGGTTCATACCGAATCTAAAAATGAAAAATTATAAAATAAGTATTACGTAAAATAATATCAAAGTACAAAAAAATGAACTATTACTCACTTTCCCCAAAAACTATTTTGAAATTTGTCTAAGACCAGGATTCATCTTAATTTTCTCGGGATCTAATAAAATTCCTTCTATTTCTTCATAATCTTTTAAATATCGCTCTCTTTCTTCCTCTGAATTACAATCTCTTGGCCAACCGCTGCTCTCTTGTTTAATTTTCAAAAAGAGATCAATATAAGAGCGGAAAAGCTTATCGGAGCTCTCATTGAAGTGATAAACTTCGTAAATCTGTAATAAAAATAGAAAATTAACAAATATAAAAATTTAGCTTATCAAAATGAGCAACAAAAATGTCTCATGATACTTACTTTTTCAACCCGATAACCTTTATCCACAGCTAATTTTACTTCCTCAGTTACCCATGTACCTATTAGAGAGCGCTCCTCGTCTTCGTGGTGGCAACGCAACTGAGACAGGCTCTCCACACAAGTCCTACAGAGCGGAAACATTAGTTTTCCGTTGCATCTGTAGGGAAGCACAGGCAAAAAGAGACCTCGTGGGGGGACAACTTTACACTTTACTATTCCAAAATAAATGGATACATCCTGGAAATTAGAAGTAATGATTTCTGGGTGGCCGACTGGATACTTGCAGTATTTGCTGACCTGTAAAATTAGTATGTTAAAAATATAATTACTTTAATATAAATTTCAATCTATAATTGAAAAAATAAGAAAAGCTTATATTCACCCATGGATATAATATAATGATGTGAAATCCACATATTTGGCTTCGCCTTCATAAAATAGTTTTATAGCATTTGTCCTGCCACCGAAGAAAGAGTCCCGAGGGTTCAGTCTTTCCTGAACTTCATGATTCTCTACGAATAATACCCTGAGATCTTTATTTTCTTTCATCATGGATTTGAATCTGTGTTCCCATAACTCAATAACTTCGTATCCTGATGCCCTAAATTTATCGGTAGTGCCCTTAGTTTTGGCCAGTAAAGTTGCCATAGGAAGTTTCTTAAGAGGGTGTATGGTATCTCCTTCATAGCAGTCTGCACATCCATGATAAAAACAACCCTGTTAAAAAACCATAAATATTTAATAAGACAATCATGATATGCAATAAAAGTAATCATGCATTATAATAAACTCACGTGAAATTGGTATATGGTATTGGTTTGTCTGCAAAATCCATCAACAGACACGCCTCCAATCTTTATTTCCCCACTTCCATTTAAAGCGTGTTCAATTGTTATTCCTTGATCAGCAGCTACAAAATCTAACCACCTAATTGCATCAGAGCTATAATTGGTGTTGTTTATGTATCCATTAACAGGAACCATCGCAATTGTATTTGCTTGTAAATGTCTGCTCCTGTAGACAGCCATGCAGCATGACGCAATAGTTATATAACTGGAAGAAAAAGTGAGAATCACTCGTTTGAACTAAATTATAGTATGGAATGAAAATTAATATAGACATTATTACAGTACCATTAAAAATTATAGTAAAGAATAGTAAAATGAACTATTAGAAACTTACCAGAATGGGTCTACACCAGATATTTTAATCATCTCTTCTCTAAACATTGAACAAATTCTCCTCATAATATCCACATCAGATCTAAACATAAAACAAAATACGTTTTTTCATTACATCAAAAACATAAAAAATCCAGTAATAAAAAAAAAATTGGCAAATATTAAAAACAACTAATTACCTACAATACTCCAACATCTCCTTTTGAAAATCGAACTCTTTATCTTTATTTTTCTCATGCCAGATCAGAAACTCGGCCTTGCCTTTACTAGCCATCGTATCAGGGCAAAAGAATGATGAATCAGGAAAAGGACCCACATATGTTTGATTTTCCGCTCTATTAAATAGATGAGGAAAATATCATTTTTTAAGCTCCGTAAGGCCGAAGCAAGATGGTAATCTAGAAAGACTCATTGGGAGGAAAGTGATTGAATCTATGACATTGATGCTCAAAGTAGAGTGACGAATACTCATCACTTTAGCTCCATTTGGGATGACATCGGGTGTTAATCCCTGTTCTAATAACCATGCCATAATAAATTGGCCATCAAACCTAGACAAAAGTAAAATTAAATAAGTTTTCTATTTTTAAAACGAATAAAAAATTTAAAAAAGAAAATTCATTTTACCCTTTCATATTGTGGGCTATCGCCGTGTAATTTTTGTGCTGAGGTGAGAATAGCCACGAACAAAACTCCTGCAATGCTGAGTAGCCTTTAAAAATTCTCTCATCTCCGTTAAAGTATTGTGCTACCGCGTAGTTGACNAACAGCATGCTGTCACTAAGCTCTTTCTCGAAGTCCCTAACTAATCCCGTGACATTCATGTACATGCAAGATTCGTTAAAGTCTCTGACGGACACTAAGTCGCAGATCTCAACTTCTTCGTCAACAATCCTGACGGGCGGGCGAATTCCTATCTTCTGTCCTATATATTTATATAAGACGATGGTGAGACACACATTCATGTCTTTTTCGGCTTCTTCATAGCGGGCATTCACAGGCTTCTCAACTGGGAGGCTCCTTTTTGACACAGTGCGGAAAGTTCCCAAGACACTCCTGGACTTGAACTTAAGGGCAATGTAGCTAGAGATGACGTCATCTTGGACTTTTCTAATGGCGTTCCACTGAGCAAAACTAATGTCTAACGGAAACTTGTAGACGCGCCCGCTTCTGCACTTGTGCTCATGGGTGAGCGTGTACTTGCCGTCGTCTGCCATGAGCAAATAAAACTCTCTCTTGTCATATTCATTGACATTCTCAAGAGCAAGATTGATCTCCACGATGTCGAAAATGGAGGTGGGAGGGCCATGCTTGAAACATACAGTGAATTGTTTCGGCGTAAGAGTGAGCCCCACTCCGTAACGGTTAAACTTCCGTAACGGTTAAACTTTCTAACATGAATCGCTGTCTTTTCCTTGAAGGTACTCGATAGAACAAAGAAGTTGTCACCAATCGGATAGTAATGTTGAGGATAAGCTCCCTCTTGGAATTGTCCTTTTCTCTTTGTCACGGTCTAAATAAAAGGGAAAAATATTTTTGAGTCAACAGGTACAACAAACATAAAATTTTTTAAAAAAATAAATAGATCAGTAATAATAGTTAATTTTACTATCAAGATTAATTTAATAAATAAGTTCTTTTAACTATTGAGGTTTCAATACATAAAGTATAAAAATCTACTTGATAACTATTTTCAAGATCACGTCGTTTCAACAACCACGTTGCTCAAAAATATCTCAAATTGATAAATGTAACCATTTAAAGAAATAATTTCAATCTCATAAAAATAAATCCAGGCTCACGTGACGCAGCAAGTTTTTAATACACAAAGTATAAAAATCTACTTGATAACTAATTTCAATATTTCAACAACCACGTTGCGTAAACTATCTCAAATTCATAAATGTAACCATTTACAGAAATAATTTCGATCTCATTGAAAGTAATCCAGGATCTCGTGGATGCCACGTTGTATTTAAAAATAATCTTTAATGATAAAAGAATACTGTTAACAATAAGATGCTACCGGAAAAAATATTCATTAACATACAAAACAAAATCTTTTATAAAGAGTATAATATAAAATAGTACTTACTTCTATTTCAGCATGTTTCCTTTTCAGTGAAGTATCCATATCGATAATTTATTTAAGCTTGTAAAGCTAAAAGTAAACTTAAACAAAAAATATTTTAAAACTTAACGACTAAACATAAAGCGAGTAACGCTAACCACACTCTCCACTAAGTGGGTAACAGAAATGTACGTATGAAATGCATACACGAATCTATACTGGGTGTTGCCAAAAAAACATGAAAAAAAAATCATCACATAATAGTACAACCAATGAGAATATTTCATCCTATCATGTGAAACAGCTCGAGAGAAGGGAAGCGAATTCAATACCCCATACGTCACGGAACGAGCCTTATCTTGTCAGCGCTTGGTAGGATGACATCACAGTATCCGCAGTGACGTCAAATCCCCCAAACCAGTATCCCCAACCGACGGCATGATTCGTCTCCACACGTGGCTGATAACTACATGTTGCCAGCCGGAGAAAATAGTAATAACGATAAGATTGAAGTGAAGACAGGTAAGGATGAAATTTAATCGTAATCGCCGTTGTGCTTTCTCTTGAACACATGTTCAGAGTTTGAATGCTAAACGTATTTACGCAAACATTATTAACCATCGTTGGGGTAGTTGTCTAAGTGTCAGAAACAACTATCCCAACGATAGTTTTTAAATACGGGTGTTCGATCCCAGTTAAAGACGAAATACAAATTTATTATTATTTTTGATAATAGTAATAATTTTAATATAGATATTATTTTTAAAAAATTCCATGCATTTTAATAAAAATTAAATATTATCTAATTTAAAACAAAAAGGAAAAATTATTTAAAGTATTATTTAATATAATACAGAAAAAATTTAATTTCAATATGATTTTCTAAAAACCCATCACTAATCATTGTAATAATTTTAATAATAATATTAAGATTGATATCATTTTTAATATATTTCAATAAAAATTAAGTATTATCTAATGTATAACGAATCATTATTTAATTAAAGTATTATTTAATATCTGACAGAAAAAATTTTATTTATAAATATATCATTTTCTCAAGACAAATGAACACTATTCTTCTGCTCCTTTATTTCACTCATAGATGGCACCACGACTGTCTTACATATCAGGTTGCCATCCTGTAAACGAAATATAACACTGAAATACATGGGGCAGAAAAAAGCGCACCGAAACGTTGCAGACATAGTTTCTATATCAATGGGAGAAGAAATAAGCAGCAAATAACTTTCTCTCACTGTGACGTCACTACCTACGTCACACGACAAGGGGAGAGGCAACGCCACAGGGGGGGGGTCATGCCAAACCCCTTGGCGTTCCCCGTGACGTCACGCTGCCGCATATATTACGGCTATTACTCATAAAAATATACTAAAATATTATGAAATTGCAGTTAATTTTCCTAAAGTTTCCTCTCTAGATAACTTTATCAACAATCTATATGTAAAATGAAATTTATTTCCTATTATCACAAGAAAAAAAATGATTGTTTTGGAGCGAAATGTAATACTGATCTGAACTGCTTAGAATTATGTTTGAAAGATAAATTATATTAAGATCTGAACATTTCCTAACTATATCAATTAAAAAAATTAATTTTAAGTAAAATTATAGACATTATGGTAAATGTATGCTAGTACACTTACTAACGGTATATGGAAATACAATATTTCTGTTATATTATGCAATTATAAATGAAGATTAAAAAATTTTCAAAGCATTTACTGAATAAAATGCATTGGTTTTAGAAATATGAAAGGTTGGTTCATGTTATTACACTAGCATATACAGCTATATTATAGATTAAATATTGATGAAATGATAATTAAGTCTTTTTTCTTGTTTTTCTCAAAACCAATTTTTACGCTAAATTATTGATTTGTAAACATGATATCTCAAAATGTTTTAGTTCAAATAACTTGAAATTTTGCATAGATGTTTCTTATACACATGTCTAGGAAATAGACTACTCACTAGTTGATTGAACCATTATTTTTCTTTTTACAACAAATTTTTATAAACAATAGCTGTTTTTTAGAAAAGTGTTACATGTGCTGTAAAATATTTAAATATTATTATTATATCTCAGGAGTAGTCTACTCCCGTAGTTGAGCTTTAATAAGTGTCTTAAAGAAGAAAAAAAATGAAAAAATAATATTTAGTAATGAAGCTATGCTGTTTTAAATAAAGGTCAATTTTCGGCCAATTTTGACCCCCCAAAATTTTAAAAAAAAATTATTTTTTAAAATTTTTTATATTTATATCATGTTTTATTTTATAATACACAAATAAATTCTAATAAAAAGTTTCTCAATAAAAAATTTAAAAATTTTGTCCCCGAAGGTATTCGGGCACCTTAATGGTTTAATCCCTTTTTCCTTAAAAAGAGGGTAAAAAAATAGGGAAACCTCCTATTGCGCAGTGGCGTTAACGGCATATTTGAGTGCCGTGAACTTGCATTTACGTTCCCTGGACGTTACACAAAGTACGGTTCGTATCAATTTAAACTGTCCAGTCTGCCAAAGTCAAACTACGAGGAAAACATGGCTCAATATGTCTTTGACAAAATACATGGACTGTCAGCACTTGGTGGACATATGCATTCCATGATGGTGGGCTTTGTCATCTCGGAACTTTGCGAGAATTACAGAAGCAAAAAGAGACCGTATGTTGCCATAAAGGGAAACAAGCATCTGGCCAAAATTTTGGATGGTTGAAAGATCAAATACGTGGATCTGAAAGTATTGGGCTGTCCTCGATTTGAACTTTTGAAGGGGTACGAGACTGTAACATGCGGAAAGCACAATCAAAACTTTCGATGTGGCCAAGCTATGGTGGTGGCCTATAAGGAGTGGATTGAAGAAAATTGTTAATGGTTTAATCCCTTTTTTTCCTTAAAAAGAGGGTAAAAAAATGGGGAAACCTCCTATTGCGCAGTGTCGTTAACGACATATTTCGGTGCCGTGAACTTGCATTTACGTTCCCTGGACGTTACACAAAGTACGGTTCGTAACAATCTAAACTGTCCAGTCTGCCAAAATCAAATTACGAGGAAAAAAATGGCTCAATGTGTCTTTGACAAAATACATGGACTGTCTGCACTTGGTGGACATATGCATTCCATGATGGAGGGCTTTGTCATCTCGGAACTTTGCGAGAATTACAGAAGCAAAAAAGACCGTATGTTGCCATAAAGGGAAACAAGCATCTGGCCAAAATTTTGGATGGTTTAAAGATCAAATACGTGGATGTGGAAGTATTCGGCTGTCGTCGATTTGAACTTTTGAAGAGGTACGAGACTGTAACATGCGGAAAGCACAATCAAAACTTTCGATGTGGCCAAGCTATGGTGGTGGCCTATAAGGAGTGGATTGAAGAAAAATGTTAATGGTTTAATCCATTTTTTTCCTTAAAAAGAGGGTAAAAAAATGGGGAAACCTCCTATTGCGCGGTGGCGTTAACGGCATATTTGAGTGCCGTGAACTTGCATTTACGTTCCCTGGACGTTACACAAGGTAGGGTTCGTACCAATTTAAACTGTCCAGTCTGCCAAAATCAAATTACGAGGAAAAAATGGCTCAATGTGTCTTTGACAAAATACATGGACTGTCAGCACTTGGAGGACATATGGATTCCATGATGGAGGGCTTTGTCATCTCGGAACTTTGCGAGAATTACAGA